TATATAATATATATATATATATATATATATATATATATATATATATTACATACTACAACTCTATACACTACAAAGTTTATCATAATAAATCATGTATTCTTCATGAGTAAGTAGAATATTTAATACAAGATTAAATAATGATGGCATTTACGTTCATTATGCGTTATTCGTTCGCTTTTTGAAACTATTATTAAAATCCAGCGCGAATATCAATAGAATTGAGATACAATATTGCATTCTTCCCATTGCATATCAAGTTAATATTAATCGTTGATGTGATTGCATTTTATTGTGCATTATAATGTAACAATAATAAAATGCTAATGAAGATGAATAATGATAATAAGGATTTACTTATAACGAATGGATAAATTGGCTTTCATAAAGATGACCGTAATTAAACTAAACTCGTAATAGTATTTAGATAAAAATAATTATAAAAATCTATTTGAGTAATATTAAGTTAATATTGATATACATTTATCAATTATCGATTTAAAATTCTCGAGAAATCGCTAATGAGATTGATTGTAAAACGTAAAAATTTTACAATCGAAATGATGCGGAGCAGGCTATTATCTCCTGGAATATTTTTAGTGGGAGCTTCCGATGGTAACGATCGATGCGAGGGAGTCACGTCGCGAATTGATTTCGCTCATATTTCAGAGTCGTGAAACGATGCTAAGCACGACGCGACCATTCCGCCCGCGACCGCTTCTCGTCTTCATTTCCTTCCCTTTCCCTGTACCTTCTTCACGCTGCGTATCCTGGAAGGCACGTATTTGAGGCGGACAAACACGCGGAAGCATCCAGGAAACGACCGGGGCCCGTGCTTAGTCTTGCGCGTCTCTCCATCACTCGCTATGTTCCTTTCTGCTACGAATAGTTTGTGGAGCTTTAATGTTTGTCCTGGGCTAAAGTGCGACGTGGACCCGCACACCTTTTCGCTCGGCCGTTGATCCAATATTGCGTTTGCGTTGACGATATGCGAATTTAGCATGGCTAATCAACTTTTCTCCCCGCTGGGATTCCAACTGACTTCAATGATCTCACTTCTGATGAAAATTTTCCAAATTACTATGTCTTTTATGAATTTTTTTGCTATTTTCTTCAAAGTTTTGAATAGCTCTTCAAGAATATTGAATACTGAATTCCTTTTCAAGCATTTCAAGTTTTCATTAAAACAAAAAATATAAGAATTGTAACAATTTTTGATTTTTGGATTGGAATTTTCTACTTTACTAAATAAAATCTTTTTTAAAAAAATATTTCTGTCAACACGTTGTCAGGTAATATATTTTAATATAAATAAAGAAAGTAACCCCTCGTAAATATATCTTCATGATAATTTTTCAAACATCGAAGAGCTTCTCAATCTATATACGATAACATTTTTTTCGCGTTACATCTCTAGAGAATTAAAATTCTGATAAACGGACTAAAGACTCGTAGTCTTATTTGTATTATTTCAAGATTATATTTGTAGTAACTTCTTCAAAATATTAGTTGATTCTATTGAAAGAAGAGGAAATAACAAAATTGAAATTATTTTCGAAAATGTGATTTTATAGCGCTTATAATTACTTTCAGAGTTTAGCAGGACCTTTGCTAATACATAATACATAATTAACTTAAAATGCTTTGCATCCTTAATATTCTTATCATTATATATAAGCGACTGATCCTATTCTTTTATTAATCATAGGATATCGGAGAGTTTGGTAATTACATAAAAAATTTACAATAAGCTCGCAAACTTGTTCATTACGCGGAACGAGTGGCAAAAAATTATGCGTGCAATTTCGCTCGATATTAGTTTATAAATTATCGATGTCAAGCGCGTTGCGGTTTTACAATTACGCTAAAATCTCGGTGGTGCGCGGGGCAGTGATAATCTGAAATGAGAATCCACCAGAAAGTTTGTTCATTCGCGTGAAAGTTGATGAACTGGCGTTAACGTAATTTATGCGACAGGATATACAAACGTACGAGCGCGACACGAGAACGAAGCAAGTATGACTCGGGTGGGTGTGAACATATCCTGCTTGTCTTACTTTTGCCTGAGGCAAACAATAAAGCTCCAGCAAACTATTTGTAGACATGAATCTCGTTTCGGCGAACTTGAAATCTGTCTGGAATTGTTTATGGGCTAACTGCGGACATTTATGCTCTCGCTTCTTTTTCTCGCTATGAATTAATGATGAATTACAAGAGAATAGATTTGTGTGAGAGATGACTCGCTATATGATGAGAAATTATTAAAATTCTTTTAGAAGTAAGCATTCTATATAAAATAGCAAGCAATTAATTTATTCGAAAAGTTTTTCTGAGAATCTTTAGTCTGAAAATATTGTAATTTGTATTTTTGTTACGTCTTAATAAGTATTTAATGTTTAATTCATGATTCTTGAAACAGAATATATCATATTCATGCATATTGTATTTTAATATCTTATCCAGTTTTTATATTTTTTGCTAATATAATATACGAAAATCATGGATATCTCTATATAGAAAGTACAAAATAAAATAGGATATTTTATATATAACATATCTCTACATTATTTTATATTATAATATATTTCTTTCTTTAAAATATTATTATGCAGTATTAAGTTTCATTTCTCGGTTTCGTCAAAAAAAACTTGTATCTAAATAATTTCATAATGTATTAACTGAAATAAAAAAATTGTTTCGTTTGATAGCTACATTTTATAAAATATAGACAAACTTTTTATTTACAATATGAATATTTAAAATATTTAAATATTTAACGTATGCACAAAGTAAAGAAATAAACTCCATTAATATCAATCCGCATGAAAGCCAGATCGGATTCCATATTATTTCGTAATTAACCATAATGCGAGAAATCGTATCAAAATACGTACGCGTCGAGACGTTTCTGTCGGCGAAGATATCTGACGATAATGGGACAATAACGTGTGTTACATCACGTCAATGTTCGCGTTGGATAATATCAATTTCAGTAGGTATTAATGCGGGTGCGAACTGATAGCTTCCCGGGCAAGTGAAATCATTACACGCGTATCAATCAATTAACGGCCATTTGCTCTATGCAATTTCATTTATTATCGCGCATACCGCCTCGTACCGCGAAAATTCCGATCTATGATCATGGATGTAGTAACGAATTATGCAAGATAATAAAATCGCACCCTTGCATTGTAACACAATGCGACGCGCATACACAGGTTTTTGTTTATTGAAATAATACGCGATGTACGGTTGAATTGTAAAGCCGCAGCGTCGTCGTGTGAAAACAGCACACTGAGACAGAGTGACAGGTGTGCGTGGAATAATGCAACCGTCAATAAAATGATCGTTATATACGAGCGAATAAATTTCCGAATTTTTCCGATTGCTGCACTCATTCGTTGATCAACCGGCGCGATGCACTGAGGCAACGATGCGCGAGAGATCGATAAAACTCGCGATTGCTTGCAGGTTATTGAATCCAAAATAAGGCTGGCTGCGGTATTATAATTTTGCAGTAACGTATGTAGACAATTATCATAAGATTATTTCACAATTAACAAACGTACAAGGTATTTTTGTTTTACATATTTATAAATAAGAATACTTAAATAAGAATTACTTTTTTTAATTCAAGTATTCCTAATTGAGCAAGCCAGTTTCCTTAACATTTTTGTACTTCCCAATAACGACCTCAATATCTCCATCTGTTTTTATACTGTGCTTTTAATCGATCTGCATAAAATGTCTCGTTATTGAATTTATATCTCGCTGTATCGTGACGATTGTACAAAATACAGGCAACTACCACCGAAAGCACGCACGTCTATGCCAATCTATACATGTGCATTTTCCCAGTCGTCGCACTCGTCGTCGGTCGGACAACATGGTACGAAGTGCAATAGCGCGCAAACAGAATAACAACGGTACGCAGCACGATGGTACGTACGGATATTTTGAAATCGACAGAAATAATGAAATCGCACGTAGGGCCAAACGACGAGTTTTAATCGACGGCACGTGACCGGTTCTATTCATCGCCGGTTCAATCGAAACAGTATTGATGAAACAAAAACTCTAGTAAACCAGTCTGGGACAGAAGTTTGGTCATCACAAAAATCGCGAGACGAATGATTATCACTATCGTAAAGCTTTGCT